CACCACTCACACACAGACACCACTCACACACAGACACACACAGACACCACTCACACACAGACACACACAGACACCACTCACACAGACACCACTCACACAGACACACACAGACACCACTCACACAGACACACACAGACACCACTCACACACAGACACCACTCACACACAGACACACACAGACACCACTCACACACAGACACACACAGACACACACAGACACACACAGACACACACAGACACCACTCACACACAGACACCACTCACACACAGACACACAGACACCACTCACACACAGACACACACAGACACCACTCACACAGACACACACAGACACACTCACACACAGACACACACAGACACACACAGACACCACTCACACACAGACACCACTCACACACAGACACACACAGACACCACTCACACACAGACACCACTCACACACAGACACCCACAGACACCACTCACACACAGACACCACTCACACACAGACACCACTCACACACAGACACCACTCACAGACACCACTCACACACAGACACCACTCACACACAGACACACACACAGACACCACTCACACACAGACACCACTCACACACAGACACCACTCACACACAGACACCACTCACACACAGACACCACTCACACACAGACACCACTCACACACAGACACACACAGACACCACTCACACAGACACACACAGACACCACTCACACAGACACACAGACACCACTCACACACAGACACACAGACACCACTCACACACAGACACACAGACACCACTCACACACAGACACACAGACACCACTCACACACAGACACACACAGACACCACTCACACACAGACACCACTCACACACAGACACACACAGACACCACTCACACAGATACACACAGACACCACTCACACAGACACCACTCACACACAGACACACAGACACCACTCACACACAGACACACAGACACCACTCACACACAGACACACACATACACCACTCACACACAGACACACACATACACCACTCACACACAGACACCACTCACACACAGACACACACAGACACCACTCACACACAGACACACACAGACACCACTCACACACAGACACACAGACACCACTCACACAGACACACACAGACACCACTCACACAGACACACACAGACACCACTCACACACAGACACCACTCACACACAGACACCACTCACACACAGACACCACTCACACACAGACATCACTCACACACAGACACCACTCACACACAGACACCACTCACACACAGACACCACTCACACACAGACACCACTCACACACAGACACACAGACACCACTCACACACAGACACCACTCACACACAGACACCACTCACACACAGACACACAGACACCACTCATACACAGACACCACTCACACACAGACACCACTCACACACAGACACACACAGACACCACTCACACACAGACACACACAGACACCACTCACACACAGACACCACTCACACACAGACACCACTCACACAGACACCACTCACACAGACACACACAGACACCACTCACACACAGACACACACAGACACCACTCACACACAGACACACACAGACACACACAGACACACACAGACACCACTCACACACAGACACACACACACACACACAGACACCACTCACACACAGACACACAGACACCACTCACACACAGACACACAGACACCACTCATACACAGACACCACTCACACACAGACACCACTCACACACAGACACACACAGACACCACTCACACACAGACACCACTCACACAGACACCACTCACACACAGACACCACTCACACACAGACACCACTCACACACAGACACCACTCACACAGACACCACTCACACAGACACCACTCACACAGACACACACAGACACCACTCACACAGACACACACAGACACCACTCACACACAGACACCACTCACACACAGACACCACTCACACACAGACACCACTCACACACAGACACCACTCACACACAGACACCACTCACACACAGACACCACTCACACACAGACACCACTCACACACAGACACCACTCACACACAGACACACACAGACACCACTCACACACAGACACACACAGACACACACAGACACACACAGACACCACTCACACACAGACACACACACACAGACACCACTCACACACAGACACACAGACACCACTCACACACAGACACACAGACACCACTCACACACAGACACACAGACACCACTCACACACAGACACACACAGACACCACTCACACACAGACACACACAGACACCACTCACACAGACACACACAGACACCACTCACACAGACACACACAGACACCACTCACACACAGACACACACAGACACCACTCACACACAGACACACACAGACACCACTCACACACAGACACACACAGACACCACTCACACAGACACACACAGACACACACAGACACCACTCTCACACAGACACACACAGACACCACTCACACACAGACACCTCACACACAGACACCACTCACACAGACACCACTCACACAGACACCACTCACAAAGACACCACTCACACAGACACCACTCACACAGACACCACTCATACACAGACACCACTCATACACAGACACCACTCACACACAGACACACACAGACACCACTCACACACAGACACACACAGACACCACTCACACACAGACACCACTCACACACAGACACACACACAGACACACACAGACACCACTCACACACAGACACCACTCACACACAGACACCACTCACACAGACACCACTCACACAGACACCACTCACACAGACACCACTCACACACAGACACCACTCACACACAGACACACACAGACACCACTCACACAGACACACACAGACACCACTCACACAGACACACAGACACCACTCACACAGACACACAGACACCACTCACACACAGACACACAGACACCACTCACACACAGACACCACTCACACACAGACACACACAGACACCACTCACACACAGACACACACAGACACCACTCACACACAGACACACAGACACCACTCACACACAGACACCACTCACACAGACACACACAGACACCACTCACACACAGACACCACTCACACACAGACACCACTCACACAGACACACACCACTCACACAGACACACACCACTCACACACAGACACCACTCACACACAGACACCACTCACACACAGACACACACAGACACCACTCACACACAGACACACATAGACACACACAGACACCACTCACACACAGACACACACAGACACCACTCACACACAGACACCACTCACACACAGACACCACTCACACAGACACACACAGACACACACAGACACCACTCACACACAGACACACACAGACACCACTCACACACAGACACCCACAGACACCACTCACACACAGACACCACTCACACAGACACACACAGACACCACTCACACAGACACCACTCACACACAGATACCACTCACACAGACACACACAGACACCACTCACACACAGACACCACTCACACACAGACACCACTCACACACAGACACCACTCACACACAGACACACACAGACACCACTCACACACAGACACACACAGACACCACTCACACACAGACACACACAGACACCACTCACACACAGACACACACAGACACCACTCACACACAGACACACACAGACACCACTCACACACAGACACACACAGACACCACTCACACACAGACACACACATACACCACTCACACACAGACACATACACCACTCACACACAGACACCACTCACACACAGACACCACTCACACACAGACACCACTCACACACAGACACACACAGACACCACTCACACACAGACACCACTCACACACAGACACACAGACACCACTCACACACAGACACCACTCACACACAGACACACACAGACACCACTCACACACAGACACACACAGACACCACTCACACACAGACACCACTCACACAGACACACACAGACACCACTTACACAGACACACAGACACCACTCACACAGACACACAGACACCACTCACACACAGACACCACTCACACAGACACACACAGACACCACTCACACACAGACACCACTCACACACAGACACCACTCACACAGACACACACAGACACCACTCACACAGACACACAGACACCACTCACACAGACACACAGACACCACTCACACACAGACACCACTCACACAGACACACAAAGACACCACTCACACACAGACACCACTCACACACAGACACCACTCACACACAGACACCACTCACACACAGACACCACTCACACACAGACACACACAGACACCACTCACACACAGACACACACAGACACCACTCACACACAGACACACACAGACACCACTCACACACAGACACACACAGACACCACTCACACACAGACACACACAGACACCACTCACACACAGACACCACTCACACACACAGACACCACTCACACACAGACACCACTCACACACAGACACCACTCACACACAGACACACGCCGACAGAATCCCTGCGGGGGAAGCACGGTGAACTCCCCGAGGTGGGACCGAGAGGGGAGCGACGGGGGGGGGGGGCGGAGATCACAGCCTGGGGTGGGTAACTCTCACCCCGGGATAATCCGTGGGTTTGGGATTCCAGGGCGCAGCGGCAACAACGACAACAACAACAAGGGAAAAAAAAGCGACACGGAATTTCTCAAGCCGCTCCGCGTCCGCGACTTTCAATTCCCCAGCGAAGACGCGCGGAGGACCCTCGGCGTTGCTCGCGCGCGATTGGACGACGGCCGACTCCCGCCGGACGGTCGCGACCAATCGCGCACGAGCGTTCGCCCATCCGCGCTACCAAATTCGCTTTGGGTGACGGTGGTGGCGAGGAGAGAGAAAAACCACCACCACCCCCCCCGTCTCGGATCCAGGCCCACGACGAGCGCAGCCGCCGCCGCCGTTCGCTTACCGCGTTGAAGACGCCGTCCTTCTTGCCGACCTGAGGCGCGACGGCCATGGCGCAGAGCGCGAAGTGGAGGAGGAGGACGGCGGCGACCAGCGCGTGCTGCGCGGTGCCCGCGGCGGCGGCGGCGCTGCTGCCTCTGCTGCCCCGAGCCGCCATGTCGGCTTCGTCGCGGCTGTGACGTTCTGCGCGTCACCTCTGTCTGTATTTACAGACAGCGGCTTGTGTTTTACCGTCAACCCACGTTGGTGGGGTGGGTGGGTGGGGTTGCGACCAAGAGTTGTGGGTGGCCAAGTTGGCCACTGACCAGGCCATGCGAATGATCAGTGGGGGCTTTGCGCTATGACAGTTGGAGCGGTTCGCGCAACTACGGAGCCGGGCGCACCCGAGTTCGATTCCCGCTCACGGCCAACACCGGTGACGATTATAATTATCTGAACCGGTCCTGGGCATCCCCTAGGTCGACTTGGCCTCAAATGAGTACATGGTGCAGTGCGTTAAACATCTGCCACTGGGGAGACAAAGGCGGCCGGGCGTGGTGCCGGCCACCCACCCCCTCGTGTGCTGTGCTGACCTTTATAGGTGCTCGCTAACAGCACTTGCCCCTACAGTCTGTTAAGGCTATACGGGGGATCTTTGTCTGTGTGTGAGTGCCCCCCAACGGTTTGTTAAGGCTATAGGGGGGGGATCTTTCATGATAAATGTTTTTGGGTTAGAACGCGTTATTGTGTGTCGCAATCCTCCAGCACCCGACACGGCCAATCAGTAAAAAAATGTGTCACGTTAACAAAACGCCAATTAATTACTTCTTCAGCCCACCGGTGTGTTTGAAGATTAAATCCACAACATTTAGAATTTGAGTACGACGTTTCGCATGGTAATTACATCCAGCATCTTCGGGCGATTTGCCCGTAATTAAACAATATTATATTTTTATTATTTTATTGTTTCCCTTCTACGTGACTTTACCGAAATAACCAAGAATATGAATCCCTACAGTCACGAAAGCTTTAAATCAAAATTGGGCGTTTTGTTAACGTGACACATTTCTTACTGATTGGTCGTGTCGGGTGGTGGAGGGTTGCAACAAATTTATAAACACATTCCTGCGGAGGGAGCTGGTAGGAACGTTGGGTTGCTCGGTCAATGGCGGCACCACGTGATGTGTTCAGCAAATATGCCCGACTGTGAGGGGGGGCACAAGCCGGCGTGAGTAGGTTAAACGTTGAGTTTTATAAGGGCACCACGGGGTGACCAGCCCCTCCCCACCCAGCCCCACCCCACCCAGCCCCACCCAGCCCCTCCCCACCCAGCCCCACCCAGCCCCACCCTCCCCACCCAGCCCCACCCCTCCCCACCCAGCCCCACCCAGCCCCACCCTCCCCACCCAGCCCCTCCCCTCCCCACCCAGCCCCTTCCCACCCTCCCCACCCAGCCCCTCCCCACCCTCCCCTCTCCACCCAGCCCCACCCCTCCCATTTTTGGATGCACGACGGACGGACGGACACAATAATCCCCTGTGGGCTGGTGGTGTAACCAGGAGGTTCCAACCAGTATAACGCGATCTAACCAAAAACACCTTTATTATGAACTAGCCTTTTGCCCGTCCTAGGACAGAAGCTGTAATATTTACGAAAAAATTGAGCAGAGCATAATTGTATCTTGTGTAAATGAAATATCAGTGAATCTTGCACGAAAGTATGTCATCAAACACTTCACTGCAGTTCACTGTAGCACTGTATTAATGGCAGTGAATCTTGCACAAAACTATGTCATAAAACACCTTACTTCATGTCACTGTAGCACTGTATGTAACTGACCTTCAATTTGTTCAAATTCACTGCTCTGATACTATAATCTCTTCTGCTTTCGGTCGCTGGGGTTGAAATTAATTGGAATTCGAAACAATATCTGGAAAATTACCGAGAAATGTCTATTTTACCATAATGTAGAAGCATAAATTAGACTTACCTTTCGTCTCAAGTGCTGGAGAAATAAAGACACCAAATCCACTTTGTTGCTGCGTATAATTATTTAGTAGATTCACTTTCAATAAAGAAACGTGAAACTTAAAGCGAATTTGCGAAAAAATATTATTTCCGCTCGACTTTCTTCTGCGTGAGTGTAAAAATCCACCCGCTCATGAATATTAATGACGGGGCGGGGGGGGCATGTGGAGTGACGTCACACGCGTTACACACCGACATTCTTGGCTCATTATAGTAGTAATAATACTGGTCGCGAAAGCCGACGTGTTAAAGGGGGGATCTTTGTCTTGTTGTGGCCGGAGACGCACCCGCGGTGGGGGGCAACGATGGGGGGCAACGTTGAGGAGGGGGGCAACGTTGGGGGGGGGCAACGGGGGGGACTTGGGGGGGGGGGGAGTAATTGTCCCCTACCCACCGAAACATTTTTACTGTCGTCGTATGCCCACAGACCACGTTTTTGATTTTTTTGGAAACTTAATAACTGACTCGTGAAAGCTAACGGGTCATTCAGTTTGCTTACATGCAATAATGTAATATTATGGAATCGTGATGTTTGATTGCGATCAATTTCGTTTCCTCAACTGAGTGAACTTGAGAATAGGTTTTGTTGCCAGAAAAAAGGGGAAAACCTAATCTCATATTTTGGTACTGGCAAAGGAGGTCCCATAATGAGTGAACTTGGCACAAAAGTGGAAAACAATTTGCCACCGACGAGAGTTGTTTGTGTTCCACTGCCAATGTAGTATCATCAAATAATCCGAATAACATGCATACGTTGATTATACGCCTCCTATATTTGTCTCTCACGCATTTTTTTACACATCCCATCAGCTACGCGGCCTTATTATGGGAGTGCATTTTTTTCAATCAGCGCAATGATTTAATCCAAGACAACTCTGGACCCGTTTCAACATTCAGTGTCTCATCAGCAGAGTCAGGCTCGCATGCACCGATGCTGGTGAACTGCCCGATAGTAGACAAGCTCTATGATTTACGATCATCCTGAAGCTCAGCAGGAATTGAGCCTGGATAGTGCGTGAATGGTTAGGCACCGTGCCTACGAGGCAGGAGCCAATGTACGTTGTGGGCAGTAAGAGAGCAACGTCGCAAAATCCATAGCACATCCTCCCACCTTCACTAACCCCCACTGACCGCAGTGGTGAAGTACGGTCAGAATATCGCTCACGGCCAGCAAGGCACGGGGAAGCCCTCATCCAGCAGTGGATTGACAAAACCGGGCAGTAGAGTACTTGTACACTTAAATGGTACGCTAACGTTACATCAGTGAATCCAGGGAGATCCAGAATTAAATAGTTATATTTTATTGACCAGAGAAAAATAATGTAATGCTTTTGTTTCATGAATGTAGGGCCTTATTTAAACACTTGAAATTTCAGGACTACCCCCCCCCCCCCATCATCACCCTACCCCCCAGAAGTTTTTAGATCCGCCTCTTGAGTTCCAAATTATGGCTATTGATCAACACATTTGTGTTGATTAAGTCGAATGTTAAAACAATACGGCCTTTATTCTGTGAGGTTACACACTTGGGCTGTCCCTGGCTATCACGCACGAGTGCAAACTTAAATAAATGAGGAAATAATATACTTTTAAGCGTTAATCCCAAGCGCGTCAAAATAGCAATGATGTGACGCTAACATTATTCATGTAACTCACACTCGTGTGTTTTTTTGGGATGTTGCGGTTTCTCACAGCGGTGAATAAGAAATACTTGTTCAAATTGTCACCCTGTCAAATCAGCCTGAGGTGGTGATCATCTCCGCCAGTGATGGAAATTCCACGTTCCCAGGACGAGGGACATCCATAAAACCACTTTAACCTTTGCACAAATTGGTAACTATTGTATCAACCGTGACGGAAATTCTGGACCCATGAAGTAACCTCCATACACGCGGCTAGTCTTTACGTTTAAAATAATTAGTCAATACCCAAAGTGTGCTGTGTGGGTTATTACATCGCAGGATCATCGTCAAATGGAGGCATAGGGATTGTCTTCATCCAGCAATGGATTCAAGTCTCTGTTGTTTAACCAAGGTTTAGAACTCAAGAGACCAGGGTGAGTCTCATTTGCAAGCGTGACCTGGGGTCACAAACATGACAAAAGCAAAAACAATCAAAAGTACATCAATGAAGTAAAGTAATCGGAACAACCCTATCACGCAAATTATAAAAAAAAATATTGCAAATGTAAATCAATGTTAAATCACGTAGAGGCACGTGTAAAGATGATCTCCCTTTGCCAACCCACTGCTGGATGGTTGCCTCCCCGCGCCATTTCGGGTCTTGATGGTTATTAAATCATACTTCACCACGCTGGTCAGTGCGAGCTCGCGAAGGAGGGGGACGTGTGAACGCGGATGAACGCGGGAGCAAAGCCTGGCAGGAACAGCAACAAATGTTGATGCACTGCCCTCTGCTGCCCATCATGTAGCGTAGTCCAGAAAACTGCTATGCCATGGTGATCCAAGCTTGCTTCCAGGATTTGACGTGATATGGCGCGCATTCCGGGTGATTGTTAAGATAATTTTACACCTGGTACGATGTGTATATATCGCCACTGGGGAGACAAAGGCGGTCGGGCGTGGTGCTGGCCACCCACCCCCCTCGTGTGCCGTTCCGAGGGATCTTTTTCCTTGTTTTGTACGATCTTTGAATAAGCTGTTTGGCTGCATAACCCACATACAACTTTAAAACCTGGTCCCACAGACGATGTAATTACATGCCTGGACAAATGGGTGGGTTACGCCCGTCACTGTCACCACTGAAAAGACAAAATACAGTGCAGCACCTTCTTTTTTTGCTCCGTCAGATAATAATGTAATAATACAAATAACAACTTCAATTTGAAACGCGCACAGCATTCGCTCGCTCTCCAACAGAGGGAACGACTCGGGTGCGAGTAGGAACCGCAGACAAGGTGGGAAGGCGGCAACAGCAGCCACACCAAATGTTCCCACCCTCCAAGTTCTGCAGTCCTCGATATTATTATAAAGATTTCACCAGCCAATCAATTACTGTTTAACACGTACGCTTTCGCGACCAACATCACCCATAATACAGGTTTTTTTTGGGGGGTGGTGGTTAGATCGCGTAAATATGTCTGTTTACTCGTCAGTGGAAATCAGAGCGCCCGGAGAAAACCCACGCATGCAAGGGGGAAACACTCTATCCCATACAGATGGAACAG